GAGGATGGCCTGCAGCTACACTCTGTCAGCTTTGCTTATAGGCCGAATCGCAAACTATAAGCACTAACTTTAATAAGCAAAAATTAAAAATAAACCTCCAGTTTGTTCTTAGCAGTCACCTCTAAAAGTACAAAACAGCCCAGTTACTATAGCCAGAATTTTTTTTTTTTAAAAGTCACGATACAACACAGATCATACAAAGAGCAGGAAAACATGCCTTAACATATATTTATCATGTAGGAGCAGAGGGTATTAAAAACAGACGATCGTGACCTTGTTGGGACAATGAGTCCAAACATTCGAGAAAGGCAGCGGGGAGGAGGACTGCTCGGATTTCAGCCAATCAGAGACGGGGTGTGTCGCCGCCCTGATTTCAGCCAATCAGAGCCGGGGTGTGTCGCCGCCCTGATTTCAGCCAATCAGAGCCGGGGTGTGTCGCCGCCCTGATTTCAGCCAATCAGAGCCGGGGTGTGTCACTGCCTGGAGACCAGCCTGAATGCTGTTATATATTCATGGTGACCTCTCCCTCGTACCCGGTGCTCACCTGCGGCACCACTCGATGCGGCCTTCGCCTTCACAGCTCCGCGCCCAGTGGTTGTCGGCCAGGTTCTTCATCGCCACGGCGTACTCACTGAGCATCTCCTCATCCTCACAATGCTCCCGCCAGATCTTCTCAAAGTCTCCCACTATGGGAACACAAAGCCAAAACCACGTTTAGCAGAGAGGACCCATGCCTCACCCCCCCCCACACCGAGCAGAAACCGCGGAAACCGTCTCCACCCCTTAGCAACGTGTGGCAGAGGCGACGTTGCCATGAAAACCCCCAGTGCGACCACCTCAGCGCCAGCATCCACATCCGAGGCGGCACCAGTGCCACCAGCAGGTGCAGAGCCCGTCCCCCAGCTTCTCAACGCCCGGCAGATGGTCCGTCCAAACTAAACTGTCGCATTTAGAAACTTCACCAGAGCACTGCGGTTCCATAAGTTGAAAAATCCTAAAATAATTTTGTACTAAAGAAGTCCTGGACCACACCTCACACATTTAGACTAACAATATACAAAACATGGACAGAATTACAAGAAGCAGCAGCTAAATAGATCCTAACATGCGAACACGCTCGGCAGTACAGGGAACGGCAGAGAAGAAATCAGAAAACCAGCCGCAATAAATAAATCTTTGAAGCCTTGATGAGATGGCGTACCAAACCGAACGCCAGTCATAGTGGGGTTACAACATTGGGGATAGCAGCTAACACAGACTTCCAGTGCTAATCCTTTGGTGAGGTACTAAATCTCAGACATATCAGTAAAACACCCAGCTTTACCAACGTGTGAAAGTCACTATAGATATCGGCTCAGATACTTACAACAAGGCAGCGTCCATGTTTTTGGAGCATACAGCAAGACGTCATATTCAAGAAAAAGCTTATTTTTAAATTATTTAACCAGAAGTGAGCACAGTTACTGGGGTAAACTCAAACGACAGTGTCCTACTTGTGTAAGTTCTTCTGTCCCGCTGGGAGTGTGTTGCTGGGCTGCCCCATGAGCCTTATACACAGAGCCAATTACAGACAGACACCCGGCGCCGGGGAACTCGGTCATGAACCTGCTGCATCATTTCAGCTCCCTAATCTTATGCTCAGCCTGATTCACGCGCCTTATTTAACTCCCCGAAGGTCACGAAAAATGTGACGAAGACACTCTACGCCCCAAAGAGTCAGAGTTGTGTGTGTAATCCAATAGCAAGCACAAAAAAGAAAAGCACACCCCCCCCCCATGAAAAACCAAACGCCAACTAGTATTTCTTCATTCTATACCTACTTGCATTGAAGAGCCACAAACATGGACAAAGGTTCTTCTCAAAACCAGATTCGCCACTCCTTTACCCAGAATTCCTGGCGCACACAGACAGACAAACGGGTGGGCAGAATCTTCCCTCACAAGTCTCCACGAGCCTCGCTCACGCCAAGTTCTTCCAGACAGGGTCCTTTCACTAAGGGTAAGACCGAGGTACCATTCCTCTGCAGGCGGCAGGAGCAGAAGAGATGAAAATGGCAGAGAGGAGTGCAGGAGTCTGACGAACAAACAGGAAAAGACTCAGAAATAAAACCAACGAAGGCAAAAGCAGGAGCAGCAGGAGCAGCAGCAGCAGCAACAACAGCTTCAGGGAGGAGAACAAACAAGCGAGGTCTTGGAGCATGAATACCGTGAAGCTATGCCAAGCAGACCAGATCATGCTTAAGTTATCATCCAATCGCGGCTTTTCCTGAAAAGGGCCACTGTGCAACGTCTTGTTTTCGTAAAGCAAGCAGTGGGGAGGGGGGGGAAATGGACTGGGAGGTCAGATTCAGTTGTGCTGGGTATAAATAAGCTCCAGTCTGTGCGATTCTCAGCGTTGATTTTAATGTTATTATTTTAACAATTTAATTTATTTTAACAGGTAGAACTGTAACGTCAACAGACGTACGAAAATGTAATTATTAAAATATTTTTGAGAAGAGAGTTTCATCTTGTATAAGCATTTTACTTTTAACGCCATACATGCAAACATCCATACAGAAAGTCTCTCTCTCTCTCTGTGTCACACACACACACACACACACTACAGGTATGCAAAAACAGTCACGAAAACATCTAGTGTTATACAAAGAGTTCACACATACATCTACGTGCAGAAGCACAGTGAAATACTGTGGAACACTGTCACACACAGGAACTGCATAAGCTAAATCAGCCAAGGGAACGGCTTATTTAAGTCAGCACAGCGAAGTCAGCAGGTCCCGAGCTGGAGTCCAGGCCTGTCACTTCAGAGTAGCTTCAACGACGGGCCGGAGTGGAGCGTGACGAGACGCCAGGGGACCGGGGCGACGCAAGGCCATGGCAACGGCCCCCCTTTCAGAGTTCACCGCATCTCAGGGAGAAACACATGGGTGGCACACGGCCCCCCCAGGACCCTGGCCAAGCTCCCGCAATCCAACCCCAAGCACCGCGGCCCGCCCCAAAGCCAACCTCAAGGGGTCTGCAAGATCACACATGCGGCAAGTCCCAGGAGAGCCGCTGCTTTCTAACGCTTCCCCATTTCCAAGCAGAAAACCTGAGTAGAAAATTCACTGAGAGGAATATTATTCAGATGTAAGAAGAATGATATCTGCCATTGGCTGAGCTGGGTGGTTACCTTATAAAGTCGGCAATATTAAAGGAGACCCCAAATTAAAAAACAGTGATAATAAGAATTATAAGTGGGCCATGTTCTTGTCTTGGGAAACAGTCAAAAAAATAATCTCAGCTTTCGCTCAGCTCTCCTGAATCTGATTGGTCTTTGACAGAAAGGGAGAGCAGAATGCCTCCTTCTCTTAGGGCACCTGAGCCAATCAGGAACACCGAATACCTGGTACAGGGAGCAAAAATGTGGACTGGCATGGGGTCCCCATAGACTGGGTTGAGAAACACTGCATCAGAGATATCCAAATTTTCCTCGTGATCAATTAAGCTCAGCTAATCTTATCTTACTGATATTTATACAGCTTGTCCCACTTGCATGTTCAATGAATTCACCCTAAACTGGCACGAATTAAGGCCATTATTAGAGGCTAACACGCTAAACCTTTCATAATGATCAGCTGCTTTCCCATTCAGGGAGATCCCTAACCTGGGCTCCCTGGAAGAGGCGCCATGGAAGGATGGATGGATGGTATTAACGCGACATTACTTCCCAGCATTGATATTCAGCATAAAAGCCACCACTTACTATTAGCCCAAGCCAATAACAACAGGTTCTAAGTGAACCGGGCATTCCCAAGGCTCTAGTGCGAATTCCGAGGTTTTAAAAAGGTTTCCTTAAGCTTTCAGAAAAATGCGCAAGCTCACATACAGAACGCTCTCTATCGGAGAAGCACATCAGCTACACCATCAATCTGACACTCTACGGGATCTTCTACAAATCGCATTAATCAAAGCGGTCAGAGGAGCTGCTGGAGGTGGCCTAGATTGCAGAAGGACAGCTACCAAAAAGAAGCTCAAAATTAGACTACATGCTTTTTTTAAAAAAATGAAATAAATAAAAAAAAAGCCAGTCACCCTGATTGAGTGCCAAACAAGTAGGACAACAGACCCTCTGAGCACCATGCAGATGGGTTAGAGCCCTTGGAATCTAGTTATCTCTGCTAAAGAGCACGACTAAGGCTTTCTATTAGATCTAATCACGAAAGATGTCATTTAAATTCATAATGCCCCCCCAGAGAGCAAACAGAACTGTTAATATTGGCTGGAGACAGAAACAGGACGCAGAACACCATAACGCAAATCCGGGTTTCCGTAATTCCGTGAACGATCCAGAACCGAGCCTTACGGCAGGCTGCGGGCATGCTGGCTTCCGTCCCGAAAGTGAGAAAGAGGGGAGACCCTCCGCTACTCTCACCCGAGGTGGTTTCTGACAGCGTCCGTGGGACTCCCCGTCACAGCAGGAATACCCACAGCACGCTCCTGCTTCGGGAAAACGCGCCCGTTCCTGCCAATGCAATCATCGTGTCAATCTGTATATGCAAATAAGGTATGCGGCATTATGGGAAGGGGACACATTCCGTTATGTTTATGCCCCTTAAATGGCTGCTCCGCACACACACACATTTACAAAAATGAGGACCACAGCTTCCCCTGATGCCGCCTCAACCAGTCAGTCTTATTGAGAAAGCGATCTTGAAATGCGCCAACGCACTGCCACACCACATAAGACCAGCCGAAATGAAAAACGGGCCGCATCAGCCACGCCAGAGACCGACTGCACCAAACGACAGTGACTTAAACAAGAATGAGCGAGAGGGACCATATTTTTCAGGTATCAACAGTCCCTAACATCATGAAGAAATCAGCAGTCAAATGACACCTACGACAGAACGTCACTGTCGATAACATATTACAGATGTCGGATAGAGACACAGGAGGGGAATCATTTTGACTTCATTCTAAATGCAGCCACTACCCTGGCTCCACCTAATAAAAAAAGCTTCATTAGTGTATTTTATTAAGCTGAAGATTCATCTTTGCCGTACCCAAAATAAAACGGATTGCTGTGGGTGTTCGACATTAACGAGCGGCTCGGTGACGTGTTTTTCACGGCCCGAGCCCCAGAAGAGATCCGTAGTGACTCGTAAGCTTCTCCTGGAGCGAGTGATAACCTGAGTCAGGCCTTACCGCGGCTCAAGGCTTCTTATTGACAATTCGACACGAGAGGCCTGCTTTCAGGACACAGGACAAAACACTGTAATGTAGGTCAGAAGCCTAAGAGAGAGCTGGCCTACATGTTTCTACTTTTTCACAAAAACAAAAAACAAAAGGCAGAGATTCTGCCAGCCGTGTTTTCACCACTTACACTCATTCATCAGGCTAATTGTGTCTCTTGACTCAGCGCTTAACCTCCTCAGAGCAAACAGACGCTGACAATGTTTAATCCGCGTGCCGATGGAAGGCAGAGAGCAAAAATTACTAATCGATAAAGTGCAGGTCGAAATGATAAGAACGGTGAAAAGGTTACCGTTTGATATCAAAGAAAAGACAACTGACAAGTAACAACTTAAGAGGCAGAATATCGAAATTAACTGACAGGCAGTGAGAAGGGTTCTTGTAGACCAAAGCTCACCTGAAGGCCAGGCAGCGAACGTTAGCTCCTGAGCTCCAGCTATTGCTCAATGATACATGGAGGTTTGCTGAGATGCCAAGGTACCGTTTTGAAGGCAGTTTTCACAACGACTGAGGTTTAACAGAACCCTAATCATGAATGATTAATGGGCACAAAGTCAATCGATAATATAAAATGATGGTTTGATGAAGTATTAATAATCAGCATATATGGACAACAATAAGAGCTAATTTCATCATCAGGTTAATGTCTGAACGGCGGATAACTGTACCAACGGCGAGATCATACCAAAGGTCAGAATTCCGAACATGGAATGGGCCTCACGGCGTTCCCCTTCCTCGTTAATATCCATCCCCTCGTTTACCCAGGCCGAACCTGCTACGTGTTAATCGGCGGTTCTTACGCTGTCGGCAGGAGAAGCCTACGTATGACTTTATCTCTGGAAGGTCTGAGCATAAACAAAGGCACCAGCGTTTATCCCGAGGGAGATAAATTCAGGACCTTGGGACCCGCGGCTTATCATCCGAGCGGCGCTGGCAGCTGGTCCGGCTCTGGGGACACGGTGATGCCCAGGTCGGGGTGGTGGGTGGCGTTCATACCCAGTCCCTGAGGAGGGGCTTCCACTTCTCTTAAGATCTGCTATCTAGCCTCAGTCTTTCACGCTGACATTTCGCTGTGGCGTATTTCAATATTAATGTTAAAGCTTTCCGAGTCCATCTGTAATGCTCATTCTACACTTAATTGCTTCGTTATGTTCAGTCTGCTGTGCCGCATGGCTACGTCTTGTGTTAAGCGTGCTGGAAAGGAGGGTTATAAACAAGCCGAATGGAACAGCAGGCACCCGCTGGCATCCCGGCAGGGGGTGAGTGCGGTAAACCTCCACCGCTCATAAACACACACTCCCCAATGCCCTCCCAAGCAATAAACAGCAGGTGCCCCTCTGGCTGCTCCGGTTGGCACCCCTCGGCCCGCGGGGTCATTATACCCCCCAGGAAGTGGCCCGAAAGGAAAAACACTCCGGAAAACCCATATTTTTATTTTCATCAGGTAAACAAGTAAATGATCCTGGACATGAAATGACAGCCTGGTCTGATTTTAGCCCCACCTTCCACCCATGACGTGGGATCGAGCATGTGCCCCCCCCCCAAGGAGGGGCTCAACTCCCCCCCCCCCAGTCAGACCGCAACGAAGTCCCAACCCCGTGGATGCATCCACCTACCTCACACAGTTAAAGTGGATTCAGTGTCAGCAGTAACACATACACTAATGGCCACCTGCTGTTCTGCATGCGAAGACCATTTTCATCCCAAGTATCCAGTTAGATAATAAAATTTTTATGTGAAATGTTAATTCCTCTCCCAACACAGAGCATGACCCCACTCTCAGAACATATGCTAAACCCAGAGATACACAGAGGTCTCCCCAAAACGATCTGAAGTATCACCGTGTTCCAAACGGCCTGACACAGCCATCGCAGGCCATCAACCCTGGAGAACCTGCAGCAAGAATTAAGAGACGATGTCACGCAGAAGCTGACCAAATTTCCAAGCACAAGTGCACGCAGTAATCTCGCCTACATTTCCCAGTATGCCATGCCATGCCAGCAGCACTGAACAGTAACCACCAGAAGAATACATGCTCTCTGGTCCTCTACGCCCTTACCTCCAAATACGCACGTGTGGTAGGTGGACTTCAGTCTGCGAGAAGCTCACACCTCTGCAAATGTCCCACAAACCCAAAATTATCATCCCTCACCACTGCAGTGTACATTCAGACATCTAACCCATTTTTCTCTTTCACAAAACCATCAAAAGGTATTTTTGGCACGTTTTGGAAACCTACAGCTCAAAGGCCAATTAAGTTCTTTAATGAATATAGTTCACAAAAACGTTACTGCCAGTTTACAGAGTGACTGTAACACAGTGGGATCATTAAACTACAACCACCAACCTAAAATTCATTTCTACCTCAAATTAAGTATATATGTTTCATAATCAACAATAATAATAATGTACTTACATTAGGAAAAAGCGGTTATTTATATCAAAGTAGGTAAATAATTAACAGTGAAATGTCATCCCGGCATGATCCAAAAAAACCTCCACACGTCAACAGTTTTTTCAGGTCTGATAAAGTAATCTAACAAACCTTCTAACCAATATAGGATTATCATACTTCACGGCAGCAAATAAACTAACTAACAGCTGCTGTTGGACATTTATACATGGAGAGGAAGGGGAGGGTGTGTTTTTTGGAACCACTATGGGGTTGGGTTATATTAAAAAAATGTCTAACAGTGCAACTTGAACACGACACTTGTGTTTTCAACTAAGACCATACGAGTTCCACTACAGCTACTCGCGGCCAAAAAACCTTGTTTTACGTGCTTAGTATTGCGAATTACTGGATATCCCCCCTTTAAGTAATATGCACCATTTCTTCTTCTGCGTGCAAAATTGCGACAGTTCTGACTTCACCATGTTGTGGATATGCAAACAGATCTACATTTATGACATCTTGATGGTTTCGGTAAACCATCCTCAAGACGATAAAAGTCGGCCAAATACACGCTATTACGACAACACATAATTTGCACTGAATACAGAAATGCTTCAAATGTCAAAAAGCGGTTTGTAAGAAATGTCCGTAAGAGTTCAGAATGCCAAGTTGTTTTTTTTAGGATTTTCCAAATTTCCGTCTCGTAATTCGGCAAAATTGCAAAGCGATTATAATGTTCATATACCTGCTGCTGATCAGCCGTGCATATCTACCTCCTAGAGACCTAGACGAAGAGCTGAAACTGTCTAAAATGCATAATGAATTAACACTCGCTGATCGCAGCCAGACACCCGCATGTTACTTACGCCTTTATTTGGTTAGATTTCACATTTTGCCGGTAGATGCCAACGCAAAGCAGGGCCCCTGTTTTCGGCAAGAAATGCATCTTATTTTTAGAGGCCTAGTTAAATATCCTGCTTGTGAGCATTAGACGGCGAGTTCCTGCTTCGCTCACCTTCCCTGTATTTCCTGCGCAGCTTCCTGTGGACTCGCTTCACCAGCCCGGACAGCTTCTCCTGCTCCAGCTTGCCGCTGCGTGTGGCCGCCAGCGCGGCTCCGCGGACCGGCTGGCGATCGGCCCCTCCGTCCGAAGAGAGCACGGTGCCCGCGAGGTCCATGGTGCCGTGGCGTCGCCGCTTCCGCCACCGTGCCGGCAGGGAGGCCGCTGATTGCTCGCTCGGCGCGGCACATGGTGCTGAAGTGACGGCGCGGTAACCAATCTGCTGAATGGGGGCAGACACGGAGCGGGGAGCCGCACTGCCCAGCTCTCGTCTGCTTTTGGCAGCCGACAGTTTCTGCAAAATGCTGCTCTCCGTATTATTGTGTGCTCTTAAATGCACCGATTTAATATAGCCCGATTACGTTATATAATAACGTACTGTAATATTACCCTCCTTATCTATATCATGCAGTTTGAAATTCAATGTAAACCGATTTCTGATTTTCCATCGAACTTACTGTTTCCATATAAAAACTAGCGAATTGTTTTGGGGGGTGGGGGACTTCAAGGCTTTTCCACAAATCTGAGTTCCTAAAAAAGATCACGAGCATGCATCAGGCCGGCGTTTCTTTTGGGTGTATGGTGGGTTTGCTGGTGTTTGTCTGGCATCGAAACATCCTCCAAACTCGGGTGACCGGGGAAGCTGGAGTCAGGAAATCTGCGTCTGCAGAGTTTTGCGGCTCCTTACCGCAGCATGACATATGCTGTGCTCTTATGCTGGATCTCTGAGCTGAGGTCCACCGTCGTCAAGCTAAATGCCATTTTCTTCGTTCATTCTCATGCACAAGTTCAAACTAACGAGTAAATTGCTCTACTGTTTGCATTTAGCTCATAACATGAAATCACTAATGTAAGCTAGCTGTGGGCCAAATTATTTCTTAACAAAAACACATCTTTTTATAAAGGGCAGCCGGGGGTTGAAATAAGCTTCTTTGTAATCTAATGGAAGCAGAGTTTACAAATATTTATTACAAATATGTATCCATGAGCCATTTTGCAGCCTGAGAAACTAGAATCCCATTTTCTGTGCATTGTATTTATTAAATGATGTGTGTTTCTTTTCATGCTTTGCCCCAATGTTTGATACAGATGAGCAAATCATTGTGCAAATCTAAACATTATACTTATTTTTATATATTTATTATATATATTTTTTATTGGTGTGTACATCATCACACAGAAAGACTATCTTCCAGTGGCAGATCCAACCTGAATAAAGAAATCGAGCTTATTTAATATGGAACAAATCTTATACTTGATCGTCATCTAATTTTTCATCAAGGTATCTCGTCTGTTTGCTTGTCTGTTACTGTTTTGTAGATATTGTTACATGTTCCATGTCTCATCTTGTGTTTTTGTTTGGACCCCTAAGTGAGTTCCTAACCCATTCTCATTGTGCTGTCAGGTGCAATGACAAAACAGAATTGAATCTTGTCTAAGCTTTTATTCATTTCTGAAGCAGAACCTCCCCCTACTGAAACATATTTATACTACCATCCGTCTTTGTACTGATGCTAAACAGGATGTCATATAGTTACAATGGATTTATGACCATCTATCAAGTATAATTAACAAAGCACAATTAATTTCCTGTGGGAACTACAGTATAAGCCAAAACTCAGGTTCCAGTGTATAATATGTCAGAGTTCTTTGTAGTTCCTCTATCAGACCAGATGGGATATTTAATGTACATCTGGAACGTCGGGTAAGGAGTGTGAGACATGGTAATAGTCTGAAATACACTAATCCATGTTCCGTTCAGCAGCAATCTGCGGTCCGGGCCAAAGTGTCATTTCTAAGCCTTCGGAACACAAAGTAATCAAGCCTCCATGGCTGATGTGGGGCTTCTCTCGGTGTCACTTAGCTCCATGTGACCTGCCTCTTCCAACCCAGGCTCAGGTACATCCGCATGGAGGCACAGATGGGGATGATAGGGCTGGCTGCTCCACATTAGCATAACAACGGTGTCCGCCAGGCTGTAATAGAATTAGAATTAAACCATCTTTATTTGAGTTTGGCAATGTGGCGTCCCTTAAAACACCTATAAGCATGTGAGGCTTGCCAGCTCGTTGCCCATAATGCACCACTCTCCAGCTCTGTTTGCGATTAGCATACGCCATGTCATCAGCTACATGGGGTGATCCTGGCCATCTGTGTACCCTCAGAAGCTGATGTGCGAAGAGATTTTGGCTTTTGCAATACTTTGTTTTTCTATAATTCAGTTTGTGGATTTTTATATCTATAATTCCTTCATGGACTTCAGGCAGATTTAGTTCAGTTGAGAAATGATTACAGTCACTATGCAAATAGCTAAAAGTTCAACACCGGTGTACACTCAGTATGAGTAGTATAAAACATACGTTATATACACACTAAAGTGCGTATGACATTTACAAGCATCTTTATTTTTATTTTTTTCAAAATAAAATCTAATACAAAAAATGGCACAGAAAATGTCTCCACTATAAAGAAACCCCACATTTACAACTTCACTTGCCTCAGACCTCCGACAGAGTACCCTGTAATATACTTGTATATTGATTTATTTATGTATTTTCATATGATCTCTGATGACAGCATTCCTGTGGACCAGTAAATGCTTCTAGAATCTTGGTACATTTTTACACGGACAGCATAATCAGTATAATACAGTAAAGTTTCTTGTACTTAGTCAAAAAAGAAACCGTACATTCTTGTTTTATTTGCAATGTAATAGAGGTACACAGCTGTATTAACCCAGAGACAGGTCCCACAAAAGCTATTACTCACCACAAAATCAGAAGTGGCCCTGATGGAAAAGAACAACTGCATAATAGCTGAATTTGATGTATCTGTGGGACCCTCAAAGGCAAGAAAACAGCCATCAATTGGAATGACAAAGGATGGGGTTTATGGTTATGAAATCTTATTACGTAATCGCTATCTGCAGGTCTTCTGTCTCCTGTGCTGGAAGCCGGTAGTGTCATCTGCCTGGCCTTCCCCAGTTTGGCTGACTCTGTGGATGCTTTACAGCAGGAGACCTTCGGGGGGGGGAGGGGGGGGGGGAAACACAGAGTACCATATAAAAAAGTAAACAGCTTGTCCTTACAGATAAATTCAGCTTGACCACTGTTGGAGTTTTTATTTCCAGAAGGGGAAGGATGCCAGTTACGGATTCGGCCTTGCCTCAGACTGTGAGCCAGGCGGCTTTGAACTGGCGTGAGGCGCACGATATTTTCACGAGCATGCCGCTAAACCCACGCGCTAGCACGTGCAAAGCACATGCATAATTCATGCGGCGTGCGGCTCAAGCCACCCGCTAATGTCAAAGCAAGGCTCCCCTGTTTGTCCTTCGCAGGAAAAAATGCTTATTTGTTATTGGTTAGGAGAGGGATGCTGACCAGGGAAATAGCAAACAGCTTAACAGGTTTATTGCTGTGCAATGTACCGCAAAATGTCTCTATTACTACCTTGTTGGTACATTTTCATGGCCCTTTCCAAGAAAGTCAACTGTCTGCTATTTATTGCATATTTTTGTTTTGCTCCCTGTATTGCACTTTCGTCTTGTACTGTCTCATTTCTTATTGCACTGTTTTTGTCTGCTGCACCTGTCTCCTCCCCTGCAACTGTAGCACAAGGAACGTGACAATAAAAATGAAGCATGTACTTGACTCCCAATCAATTTACAGCATTGTGTAACCGTGCTGTTTGTCTGTAATGTAACACACTCACTATATGGACTGACCAAGTACAGGACAGGTGGCAGCTGGACATTGTGGAGCGAAGGAGACTCCACAATGTTCGTTTCGTCTGTTCGTTTGCTTCATCTGTGCCTCATCACCACTCCTGCAAGGGCGAGTTCTGCTTGTCCTCTGGATCTTAAAGCTTGATTTTGAGCCTGTTCTCCATTGCAGCCCTTTCAGGGACCTGATTCCAGTTAAAAAGGCTGTCTCCTGTTTCCATTCCTCTTCACTGTTATATTAATCCAACCTCCACTCCCAGTCCCAAATAAAGTTCCTGTTCCATCCTCTCATCCCCATGCTATGTGGTTTTCTTTACCATCCTACCCAGAGCAAGTCTTTCAAGATCAGGGTCAATTCTATGATTTTTTTAAAGGTGTGGGTGGGGACAAGAGGTGCCACAATGCATACAGAGGGGCCAACCTTATTATTAGCCAATGATTTGTTTTTCATTGGTGATTGGCAGGTAAGAGGGCACTCATGGGCCAATCAGCTTTCAACTACCCCTGTTCAACATGTATCACTGTAACATGGCAACTCTCTGCCACCCACAAAGTCCCTTGAGGGGGAAAAAGAAGCTCATGGCATATCAATCAGATATCTTGGCCCCACCTCCTCTACAATCTGATTGGTTCTCTCTCTGAACCAATCATTTTTCATTCTGCCCTCAGAACATTTTTGTGTAAGTAAAACTCCCACAAGCAAAAAAGAACCTCCCCACGTCTTTATTGTTTGGTATTAAACGCTAAAGCACATGTCTGTGGGGTCCACACAGCAGATCTATCGCTTCTGCCAATGCTGTAATATCGGCACATTATCCGCAGATCCAGAAACTCCCAAATGATACAAAAAGCTATTAACAACAGACAATCAGATTGCTATTCACTTTTCATATGACCTAAATATTCTTCTTTCATTTCTGCCGACTGGACATATTCAGAGCTACATTTTTCAAACAGCCCATCTACTCTCTTTGTCTAAGGTCATAATCTCACATACTATAGATAGACCATCCTCTCTACTCTCACACTATTTGTTATTTTAATCTTCCTTGGTTTCTGCAGCTGCTGTTAAATCCATTGATTTCATTTCAGGATTTGCTGGGTTTGCTTCTGATTTCCGTTATCTACCAGCGGGTTATCTTCTGGGTGGGGGGGGGGGATATCTACCTTAGAGTGAATGTTGGGCAGATTGAAGGAGGCACTGGCCCTTCTCTTCATGCAGTGACCCCTGCAGGCCAAGTGAGGTACATTAAAACTACAGGGGATAATACTTACAAACCCAGAAGCTTCAGCCCATTTAGCGGCACCATAAAGCTGGGGGAGGGGGGGGGGGGGGGGGGGGGAGTATGATTCCATGGGCCCCAGAGTGAAAAAATTCGGAACATTATTTGATTGGATTGGATTAGGATGTGGGCCCAATATTTCTAACGGCACCCTTGAGCAACCTAATCCTGCAGCTACTGACCCAAGCACTGGCAAGATGACATCACTCCTTTGGGTGCCGCTGAGCTAACATGCACCACAGACTTAAAAAGTTGACATGGAAAAACAAAACAGCGCCCCCTGTGGTCTCCAATGCAAACGCACATCACTGCCTCAAGAATAAGGCACTTTAAAAGGCCACATCTGATAAATCCCCACAACTCTGTGTGATGTATCTAATGGAGACGATCACAGATTCTTTCTTCTAATCCTACATTAGAGGGAAACATCGTTAAAATATTCAGCGAAAAACCTTTGAAGCTTAATGCACAATTAGCCGCTTCAATATTACTCCTCCAAAGCCTCCTCTAAACTGAGTGTTTGGTCATTACTTGCAGAAATCGTCTCCCCATCTTCTTTTAGATATTTTTGGAAATGCGAGATAGATCATTTGCCTTCAAAGTCCCCTGTGGTAGGCATCAAGCCATCCAGATGATTCATGGAAGAACTCTGTTCCTAAGGACCTTGTGGAGCATCTGGTTATCTCCAGCTTCTGTTTCACCTCTTACCGCGTCTTTGCACGCTTTATACCTCTATTAGATGATGTAACAACTTCACGTTTGGCCAAAGAAGATTTAAATGCATAAAAATAAAAGCAACTCGGCTCCTCTGGGGACATCTGCTTATTTATTTATTTTCCTGTAGCCTGATTACAAAAGTATTTTTAAAGCCCATTTCAATAAAGGCTGCAGTTATCGCAGGAATTACAATCCCAAGTGAACAATCTCGCTGGGACATAGGGCCTCGTTCTCCAGCATGTAAATATCCTACTTCAATGGGCAGAACTTCTATTTGAGGAAATTAGTCATTATGAAAGCAAGGTGGATTTTGTCTAATAGCTGAAAATAATAGATGACTCCATTTAACTAATAATATCTTTCTATTCCTGCACCGCAAGCTGAGATGTTTTCTCTGAGAGAGCTACATTTTTGCCTTCAATCAGAATTGCACAATAACAAGAAAGTGGAAGCGTAGGCTCGCAAACAGCCCCAGAACCACCAGCAGATCGATGACCGTTCCCCAACAGGGAACATGGTATTTCATCGAAGGAGCACAGGTAATCATATCCGCAGACCCCAGGAGCCAGCCCTTGTGGCCAGATAGCAGAGATGATTGGCTCGTGTCAGTCTGGCCACGCCTCCTCCTGGGTCACATGGCCAGAGCGATGTGAAAACCCTTGATGCATTTCTCCATGTTCCTGGGGTGAGACGTACTCTGGAAAGGGTGGTGGAAGAAGCCGCGTGATACGGAGGCAGGAGAAGGTAACGGGGATGTGTTCTGAGGAGACGAGTACAACAAAGGCAGTGTAGATGAAAGAAAACAAAACAGAGCTATTTTTGACGGAAAGACAGGATAAGTACACAAAAAACAGACTACTCTTGGGTCACGGAAGGGCTTCAGCTGCAGATCGGGTTAGCCATCAATGTCTGGGTGCTCTTACTGGAGCTAAAAGAAGAGAAATCCCTTACATGATGTTTGAAGATGAGAGACAGGTGAACCGAGCGAGTGGGCTGGTCACATGACCTCCCACCCCACCCCGGATATGTCCACAGCTCCGCCCCCCAGAGATCACATAGCCTGCTATCTGTCTGCCGATTCATGCCCTCTTGTGTTTACAGCTGAGGAAGGAGTGACAGGTGTAAACCACAGAAAAAAATACCAGACCTGTTACAAACACCAGATGGTATATTTCCAAACCATCACAATATCTAAGTAAGAGAGAGGGTAACATAAAATTTTCATATACAGTGATAATATGACCATAAACGAATTTTCATGCTGTTGCTATGGACAACCAAATACATAAAATCCTAACAAAAGGTATAAACACAGGATATAGTAATGACAGCAGTAAATAACAGTAATAAAGTGTACCGCAGCGTTTCCTCTGGTGGTGAAGTTCAGGTTCTGTCGATGAAGGTTATCGGTTTTCCTTGCTTAGAAACACATTTCTTCATCGAGCACAGTGACCAGAAGGACTCTGACAATCTGCATATCATTGACCTTTCATTGCATCAATACCCCCGTGTCGTATTCAGTCAATGAAATTACAAGACATCGATTTGGTAGATGTGAAAGGGAGAGAAACGTGAGAGGCTACAGACGCCCGAGCAGCAGGAACAGCGGCATCCCAGCACCGGCAGTTGTCATCACATCAGGCGATAAACAGCCAGACTGGAGTTCGATATGTTGAGCGATACAGATCACTCGTCCAAACTAGTGTGGAGTGGAAACTCTGCGGGAAGGTCCACCCCCCCTGCTGACACACCTGGCCTATCTGTGCTGAACTTGTAGGCTGAGCCAATACTGTCAAACAAACAATAAACCTGTTTTTGGCAGGAGAGTCCAGGAATAAAAACATTGTGCGTGTGTGTGTGTGTGTATGGTCCAGGTATAAATATTCCCACAATGTGATTAAAATCCTGTTTATTTTGATGTTGTGGGGACCATTTTTCGGTCCTCACAAGCGGAAACTCAACTTTATAAAAATCTGTGACTGCAATCGAAAAACTAAAAATGCCAAAAGTCTTGTATTTTGCTTGGTCACGTCTTGTATGGTTACTTGGTTATGTGTGGTCATGGTTAGGGCTGGGTTTGGGGTTAAGGTTGTCATTGTTGGGATTAGGGTTTTGTCCATGGAAGTGAATGGACGGTCTCCACAAAGATATAAATACAGGTCTGTGTGTGTGTACATGTGTGTGTGTGTGCGTGTGTGTGTATGGCGGGGGGGGTTGCATAGACTAAAACATCCTCAAAGTGTGGTAAAACCTGAAACTTCCTTATTTTTGGGGACATTTTTCAGGTCCCCATTTGGATATCCTCAATTTCATAAAAATCTGTGAACGCAATCAAAAAGACAAAAGTATATAGAAATGAATGGAAGATCCCCATTTAGATTGGAACGCCAACATGTGTGTGTCTGTCTGTCTATATTATAACAGGCATTAAGGATGAACACAAGGCCGACAGGTTCCTCCGGGAATCGGCTGTTTCATTTGGAGGCATTTGGAATCTGGGTCTTAGACGATTATCAGTGCACATGCATATATGAGTGTAAACATGTGTGAGTTTATCCATGGAGCGACTGAACCGGATATGCGGATTCTGCAGGGATCCCGGCAGCCTTCTGCACTGGAAGTGCCTCTGATGGCGGCATGGGGAAGGAGCCAGCCTGGAGCATCTGCCCTGTGTCTCTGGCGCGTGATAAACAAGGAGAGATGGCCCTAATGCTTCAGTACCGATCAGGGGAAAAGGCTCTTTGTGAAATTTCACGGGCAAACGAGATAGGCCGCGTTACAGCAGCCGAATGCGGAGACGCCCGGTCTATCTTCGAGAAGTCGGCTTGGCTCGTGTCTCCAGGACCTAGAACAGTTCAGCTTCAGGGAGACTGTATCTCGACTCGTCCAAGCTTTCCCGACGTTATCTTCCTACCCAGGTGGTGTGGCTGGCACGGCCCATGACGTGTCGTGCTGTGTGCGGCATCACAATCCGCTCCTTCCTGACAGTCATCTCCTGCTTCCTCCTCCTCCTCCTTGCATGTAGTGCCTGAAACCCAGCTGATGGCACTAATGCATCTCTGACGGATGCATTGTGAGCATCACCCTTCGAGCCATGTGACCCAGGAGGAGGCGTGGCCAGACCAATACAAGCCAATCAACATCATTATCATGCAGTCATGATGCGTACATATCCAACAGGGGCGATTTTAAAGTTTTTTTGTGGTGGGGGCATTACAGGGAACATAATTCACAATTCATACAGAGAGGCCAACCTTATCATTAGCCAATGATATGTTTTGAATTATTGACTGACAGGGGAAGGGGCATTCCTGGAGCCAATCAATGTCTTTAAGGTCTTTGGGTTAGTCAGTGATGTCATTTTCATGTGTATTTACTGGTTCTCGTATTTTAAGATTGTATTTATTTCAGGTTAAATTACACATTCTGCTTAATTAATCTGACATCATGAAATTATTTGAATATTTATGTGAAGAAAAAAAAGAGAGACAGATAAAACACATGTGTCTGACATAATTCTGAATCGACCAATGATGATGTTGCATTATGACAACTGAGGTAACGACTTTAGCATTGAGGGAGATGATGCTCGGAAGCCCACTGCCTGATCAAACCCACATCAGATGCCTTACTGGTTTCAGGGAATGATTGACAACTCCATAGTACTTCCTGCTGCGAGTCTCTGAGCTTAGTTTCTCACATAACTGGCAGGCACTCAAGCTAACTGTGAATAAGCACCAAAGGTCATCTTACCAGAAGTCACAGGACACCTGTTGGATGTAAGAAGAATGGGTAAAAATAGATAATATTAAAATATTTAGACTTTTACAGCGTAGCATCAGGACATTGCAGCAGTCAGCACAAAACTCTGACCTCAACCCAACAAAACATCTTTAGGTTAAACTGGAACGCAGATGTAGGACAAGATCAAGACAGTCTCCCTCAGCAGTAGCGCTGCCTAGTGCTTCAAAGATGGAGTGGAGCTCAACAGCAGCGTTTTCCCACCAGCAAATCATGAAATGTCTTCTATGATGTAGTCAGACAGTCATCAAACCCAAAAGTGGGCCAGCACTTTATTTTATTCATGTCTATACACTTCCCACAAATGGTGGGACGATACCGGGTTACGCGGGGTGTTACTGCGCATATAGAGCATTGGTGAGATTTGATTTCGAGGAATACGAATTGGTCACAACCAATCAGTGTCCTGGCATGAGGACCAATGAGAAGACATGACATTGGGGAGATGGTTACCATTCTGCTCTTTGGGACTATAGTCAATTATAGTCAAATAACATAACGTAATTGGCATGTAGGGAACATCAATCTAAACTGCAAATTCACACAAATAAGATTTTTGCATGTTTGGCTTTGCTGTCTGAACATGTGAGGGAAACATCAGCGCTATGATGGATGAAAGCTTCTCCGGCAAAGTGAAGGCTACAGATCGTGCTGCATAACAATCATGATTATCCCACTGACAGATGTAATACAGAAGATCCGTGTGGGCAAACTGGAATCTCTATTGACATAGTGACAGAAAGCCCGGTTTTCAAAATGTCAAATTTTATTTTCAAAAATGTAAGCAACAGATTACACAGGTTTCTTTTGGCAAATGCAATCTTCAAACGGCAACCCAATTCGGGACCCTCCAAATTAAAGGACGAACACACTTACACTCAAACTACCTTTAAAATACAAAAAAAGGAATAAATATCAAAATGGCCACAAGAAAAAAAAGTTAATTAAAATAATCAGTAGAGAGCAAATCTACGGAAAGTATAAACAAAACAGTGTGCCTTTGATACATGGACTTTTTTCAACGCTCTGTCCTTCTTCTTTGTTTTTTACAAGGTTTGTGCAAGATATCAAACTAAGGCTCTGGTCTTTACATGGCAAATGTCCAGCTCATAGCGACACCCCCCCCCCCCCGTTTTAGGTGTACTGGGACAGAAATGGCACCTCTTTGAAAGTCAGGCCAGTGTTACTGTATTGTAGCTCAGTGATGACCCAACAGAGAGCAACAAGCTTCCAAGTCATGCTTCTCAAGCTGTTGCAAAACAGCATTGTTATTCCTAGAGCTTTCCTCAAACCAAAGGAGAAGAAAAAAAAACTTAATGATGACCATTAAGGCAAGAATACCCAGAGTTGTATCACCAAGACTGTAACTACATTTCTGTGGCAGGGCACGGAAATGGACGACTATGATACATTTAACATTTTTTTTCCATTGTTTATTTGGGTTTGTTTTCAAAAGCAATTTTTCACCTGACATCGTCGGCTCGTTTCCATATAAAAAATTGTAGAGAAAAATAATGCCAGTCAAAATGGAAATATGAATATTAAAACTACAATAAATAGATTCTAATTAAGTTGCAGTTTCAACAACACACAAAGGTAACCCTTAATACCCCATCCCACCTCCCCAAAATGAAAAGAACACTTACATTGATTTTTTTTTTTTTAATTCCTCTTGTGAAGGTATATTCCTGCAGTGTTGGTCAGAGGACACACTCCGCTCCTCCCACCGCAAATGAAACGTCTCTTGTGTAATAAAGCACTCAGCATTCTGTCTAAAACTCAACTTACTTTCTTACATCGTCACTGAGCAGTAAAAATCCTCGTTAGTCTTCTTAGTGCAACTTGGTTGGTTGTAAAACAAATCCAATAATTCCTCAGAGGTATTTGCTTTTTTTTTTTTTTTTTTTAACTCACTAAATAGTCAATAAGTATCCAATGCATAAGGGGGGGTCAAGCCTTTTGGGTTGACGTTCCTGTGTAGTTGGATCCAACGGCCTTCCACAGTAACGGTTTACTAGAACATAAACGCAGGTCTTTCCACTGTCTGTACATACACGCGAACATCTCGATGTCCCTTCCAAGAAAGTTTCTTAAATCTCGTATGTCTTTATTTAAGGTGATCGATTGACAGTCCACCCTTCCGTCTGTTGAAAGAGAGAGTTGAGTAGGGAGAATAACCAGCGATCAACATGAGGAGCTAAAACTCTCATATAACACAGTAGGGTTCCCTCGGTAACCGGGATTTCCTGCAGTACAGGAGCGTGGTGCTGAAACAGCGCCTGAGCTCACGGTTGGAGAAAATGCAGATGAAGGGGTTGACACCGGCCTGGGCGAAACTCATCCACACCGCCGCCGTCAGATAGCCCCCCGGCACAGACAGGGCTCTGGCGAACACCCTCCAGTAGCACGCCACCAGGTAGGGCCCCCACAACACCAGGAAGAAGAATGTCATGATGTAGAACATCCTGCTGATGCGTTTCTCCGTCTTGAACTCGTCCAGGACCAGCAGGCGGCGCCGGCCCGCCGGGTTTGCGTTCTGCCGGATCCCCAGCAGGGTGGGGGGGGTCGGGCCCCTCCCGAAGCCGGCTAGCCAGTTGGCGGCTGCCTGCCCGCTGGCCCCGGGTCCGTGGAAGGTCCAGTTCTGGCTGACGGCTGGCACGAACTGTACGGGCTTCATCTTCCGTCGGTCGTGGACAAAGAAGATGAGCTTGAGGTATACCAGCTGGGTAGCCAGGAGAATGAGGGCCAGGAGAAGCATGAAGCCCAGTGAGTCGTTGGCCCGGAACGATCGGTGCTGGAAGGTGCACTGGTCTTCCTCCCGGATGAAGGAGTAGGTGCCCACGTCCAGCACGGGCGGGAAGGCCATGGCCACCGAGAGCGTCCACACCATGCAGATGACGGCCAAGCAGGTCCAGAAGGTCAGCCGCTTGGTGTAGAAGCGGTAGTGCGCGATGGCCAGGTAGCGGGTCACGCTGACGCAGAAGAGCATGAAGGCCGTGTGGAAGCAGGAGAGCACGCCCAGGAAGGCGATCACTTTGCAGGTGAGCGTGCCGTACGTCCACGCTGACCCATTTTTGACGGAGGTGAACACGAACGGGAAACAGATCGCCGACCGCAACACATCTGAGACACAGAGGTCCAGCAAAAAATAGTAAGGAGCTCTCTGTAAGCTTTTGTCTTTGATGAGCAGGATAGCGATCAGGAGGTTGCCCACCACGCCGACACCGATGATGAAACCCAGAGAGGTCAGTTTGAGGAACGTGATGAGAGGAGAGACATTCTGCAAGATGTTGTGGTCACCTGCATGGCTATAGTTCGCCATAGATGGAGGGATTATAAGATAATAGCTTCAATCAAGTTTCATGATCAAGGGGCACGGGTATATAGATCCATCAGCAGTGGTCTTTTTAAAAATACAATCCAAGCTTGAAAGCAGTCTCTCTTCTAAGGCATCCTTTGTTCTTTTGTTTCATCATACCTAAATCCCTGAAAAAGATCATCCACCAATCAGGATTTTCTCTTAGACACTGAGCTGAATTCAGTACATTTCTCAAGGTACATTAGGTACGACACGGCTGCGTAAGAATAAACCTTCTCATTCTCCTTTATTTTCTTCCTTTATACTATCGCATATTGCGTTTAAAATGGTAGACAGTTAATGCACGGCGACAACCCTGGTTCTTCACCTCGGCAGAAACCACCAAGCTTAATCCCGATCACGATAATGAACGCTCTTTTACCCTTTTGCAAAGACACGCTCGGTATTCGCCGTATATCCTTATATAACGAACAATAATTATTTTTACCCGTGTCAAAGCGTCGCTACAACGGGACGGACTTTTGATTCCCGTTGCCCTGTGCCCACAAACAGCTTAATGCTACGACGCATGAAACATTTAAACAAATGCAGCAAGAAAGCTGTTGATCACACCCAAGACCCTGCAGGTTTTGCGTTTCTAGCTGGGAGACGCGTCTTCCGGACGCCGTCGATCTTCGCGTTTCCTTGAAGCGACTGGAGCCACAGCCGCACAATTTGCCTTCAATGCTGATTTTAGCTCTCGAGTCGAGTAACTATCTCCCGTTAATAAAGCGATCCCCGACTAAAGGCGTCAGCAAGGGTTCGGGGATATAGGCTGTTATTTTAATATCTGAAAACAAAGGCGCTGCTCGTAACTGACAAAGGAAGTCATATCAAATATTAAATATTGCTTGATGCTGAATTCAGATATTTGCTTTGTGTAAGCCATATATAAATACTACATTTTATATTGATGAACATATATGATCAATTCGCTGCACTACGTATAAATGGACCTTCGTTTCTAAACTCTAATTGCAGTCCAGCTTCACGAATAAAACCAGCCCGAATCCTTATGTAAATTCATTGCCGCTCATAAAAAACGACACAAACCTAAACTATATCCAGGATGTCTAAAATTGGTTTCCTTTATCATGCAACATGATTATGGATTTCTAACTGTAAGACGCTGTTATATATACTGGGTAGCAAAAAAATGCCTCATCCGTCAAAGCAGTAAGACATTGTAAGTACGAGGTAGCTATGCGCGGACGGCAATTTGTTCCACATTTATAGGCCAATGGAATCAAAACGGCGGTGAGGATATTAATTAAATCCATACCTGTTGATTTCCCCCTTTTTGTCTCCCTGGCGGTTATCTATAATGCAGAAGTCACTTTTGCTGTATAAAAATTGCTGGCTTTTGCTGCCTGGTCTTTTTTTCCCACCGTGAATATACAGTAAATGGCAAGGTGTGCGCATGCGCACTGCTCCTATTCGCGATCCGAGCCGCAGCAGCGAGGACTCTGCCGGTAACATCTGCTCAGCGGGGGCAACGACAGCCTCACATCTTCCCCATCAATTATACAGCCCCGGCCATGTGTCACTTGTCCGGTCATTTTCCCGTGGACGCCGCGCCAAATGAGGTCAATTAATTTTGATATCCAGTCCTGAGCGCGGCGGAACGGTGTGGATGCAAAGCCACGGCGCTTTTGGGGAGGAATGATGTTGGGCTGCTTACAAAATGAAGGGGGCGCTCAGCTGTATGAAATTGGCCGATTTGATTCATTCATGCATCGCAATAGTTTATCCCTCGATGGTCCATCTTAAAATATGTTTGCACCGTATAATTAGCACCAGTCTCCCTTAGATCACCTGTATTGGAAGAGAATCATATTACACACGATGTAATGTGGCTCGCAAACAAGTAACGGCTATTGGGCCCATTTTAAAGAATTATAATTAAAAAATGTAGAGGCTGCCCTGCTTTAAACCAGTTTAAGGAGCGTTTACCGCAGTGAAAAGGGTACAGAGCAAAAAATATAGCACAATGAGATCTTTAAATACCGGATTGTCACAAACGTTATAAACGTGTATTCGTGTGCGGCTGTACAACCATAACGGCCAATATCCACATATATTGTCATATTATGAACGACATAAGCCAACATGCCCAGTGCTTACCAGCCTGCCTTATACCATTAGCTGTGACATGCTTTTTGGTTACATTTCCATCGATGAAAGGGACTTTAATCAAATATTCTGAGGAACAATAACAGTGTCTGTAACTTAGAAAATGCGGACTGCTTGGTTAAGGGCTGGCATAGGCAAATGCAGCGTTAAGAGAATTACATTGAAATATAAAAGAAAAAAAAGATTATGAACACGATTATGTAGTCTGACAAATTACAAAGATAACTTCATAACATTATCTGAAACTTAATACGTATAGACCTAGATCGATTAATTCAGAGTATAGACAGAATCCCTGGGACATGAACTCAAATTAGTTTTCACCCGCTTAAATACAAATGCAATGGAATATAATCGTCTTACACACCTAATGGCCATTATTACGTCTTCCACTATATAAAAGGGTCTAGCAATACGGTCCATCAAACGACAAATTATTAAATTCATTCAAGGCACATTACTTTACACAAACCATTTTCTTACGAGTACTTCTTGTGGTCTTATGATAACAGATTGATGAAATTAATGAAAACCACAGTCCAAATCAGGCTGAAAAGTTTCAGTCTCCTTATAATAAAAATGTGCTTAACGGGAATATTGAGGGCTGTTCAGCGCACTTCAAGACATGTCACACCAGAAATGACCACTTGGTAAGATGCAGAACACCAGTCTTGGGTAATAACTTACAGAAAAGTGTTACATTGAAAATAAAAAGTTCACATGCATAGATGGTCATGTTTCAGAAAGAAGGAAGGAGGAGCCAGGTAAAGAGGAAGCGAGAAATAGCACAGAAAATCAAGTGTAGTCAGGAAAATACATTCGTCATTACGTTTAGTATAAGCAAAGTTCATGAACATCTGCACTTCTGAAGCACAACGCCCCTCCAAGCCGCCGCGTCAATGTCTGCTCAAATGAGGAAAAATCCTTTTTCTCCCCCGACGAGAAGCATTTTCGTTTTCAATTCGGGAAAAAAAAATCGTAGATTTGTGTGGTTTGAGAGCGATCGCACGGGTCCCCTTCTGATCCCCGTAGATGTGCGGGCGAAGAGAGTTCAGTCATTGCATCTGATCACTGCATGTGATCGAGCGTCCCCGCATCGCACGGGCTACCTGCAGCACGCAGGATCTCCGCAGAAAATACCCACAGGCCTCACAAGCCTCCGCTCCTCGACCGGGCGTACCAGCCCAAGCAAGCGCAGAAGCCCACCACCGTGATCGCCATGCCCAGTAGGATAGCCAGGGCGTCTCCGGCGTCCAGCGCCTCGGCACCGGGGATAGAGGACAGAAGGAGCAGAGCCAGCGCCAGGAAGCCTCCGCAGATTCCGGAGAAAGAAGCCATGTTGCTGCACGGAGGAGATCAGATGATGTTTCGTGACGGCGTGTCAGATGATCAGGGCGCATTTCCTGCTCTGACTTTCGGACCAATAGCGCCACTGACGCCACATGCTGAAACATTCAGTGCTTTAATCTTTCTAGGCGCTGCACGTTTCTAACCGCCGAAATGCATGTTTCTTAAAGAAACTATTTTTCAGCATTCATACGTCATTTGTAAACAGTATCGCTACATAAAAGCATCTTTAACACCCAATCTCCAGGTGAAAGTATTTCACATTCAATTAATATTAACTTAATTGTCCAATAAAACAGACTAAACTGACATTAAACAGAAACCAGTATAACCTGCAGTCCTGGGGGATCATTGGACATTTGTGTTGTAAGGAAATATAGTAATCAATCTGAACAGAGATTTTTCTTTTTTTCTCAGCAGTACAGTATTGAGTGAAAAGTACTGCAATTCTGACCAAAATCTTTGGTAAAACCTGGGCAAATATAATGTATTTGTTGTCATTGTACAGGTAGCAGGTACAATAAAGTTTGTATCACTTTTGTTTTTTTTTTTTGGATTAAGGACCTTGCTCAAGGGTAATATCATTACCAGGAATGGGGTACAAACCAGCAACCTTCTGGACACAGGCTGCTAACCCACAGAGCCTCACACCAACCACAATCCACACACTCGTCAGTACAGAATGGTGGGGGCTTTAATTCGAAGGGCCCCATCAATGAGGAACAATAAGATGGCCATTGAGAACATGCATCCCGCATTGCACTCTAGCATAATTTGTGCTGTGAAGTATTTTTAAAATTCATTTATTTGTAATTTGAATGGATACATCATTGGAGTGCTTTTTGCAACACCGTTGAGAGTGAAGTTGGGGTTTAAGCACAGTGTCAGGCCACCTATTCAGCACCCTTGGTGCACTTTGGGTGTGTTGAACCGGTGACCTTCCGATTGCAGGCACCTGACCCCTTCAGCCACCCCACCCCACCCCACCCCATATACTCTCCTTGTTTGAAAGTTCCCCCCCGGTTCTAAGGTTATTTTAAGTTCACAGTGCCCTACAGATTGTTCTGTTCGATCAAACCTCGTTCGTTCAGACCACGGTCTTGGCAGCGCCCACGACGATTCCCTGCTGCAATATAATTGGACCGGAGTCAAAACATGGAAACTTAAATACTGACCTTGTACTACAGACAGATTGTCACCCAGTCTGGTACTTCACGGGGTCCTGTGTGCACGTGTCAGATTAATAAGCAGCGCCAGCGGTGCAGGGGCGCTGGTCCCATTATGTGAGATTAATGGTGTGGGCCCACCTCACTCGACAGGCACGTGTGCCTCTGCTGGTCCCATTCGAACTGGGCCTGCTGTACAGTGTCGCTTGGAGCAGCGTCAGAGCCAGGGGGAAGCCAACCCTGACCGGGCAAATAGATTATACACCCTGAACGAATGAGTAAATAAGATTTTCATTGTAGCAACTGGACACTAGAAATGTTTAATGTATATGTTGATCGTTGCACACATATATTATATCATGTATGGCTACCAAGGGCTATCAGTTGTTTTTACCATTTTAAAGACCCCTTGTAATGATGTATTGATGACAGTGAGTAATAAAATAAATTGGTTATCATATGGTTACTACCTTGTTCATATCCAACAAATGTCATGCTGACATGGATGCACCTTAATGATGTCACTGACTCATTTCAGGCTCAGTATCTTATTCAAAGTTACAGTGGTTTAATGTCTTTTGAATTTTGAGCATGGAACCATAGCAACGATTGTCCTGTTCCTGCTACCCAAAGCCTTTTATCTGACAATGGGTTATAATGCATTTCTGCAAGTATCACCTAAAATAAACAATTTTCTTAGGAGAATTTTGCTTCGGGGGCAAAGTAGGCTGATCGATCTGAGTAAGTATTTTCAAACTGGTGATGACTAATTTTCTTGTCCCAAGTGTGGTGACCAACTTTGAAACCCAATTACTTTCATGAATTATAGTGACAGAATCATTTACCAAGTCTAAATAATACGAAAACATGCCTTCTAAAGATTAATTATCTGTTGGAATTACTTTGGTGAAAGCTTGAGGAGACGGGGTGTTTCAAAACCGTCGGGGTCTTGGGAACATCAATAATGATGTCCTGGAATAGCTTTTTGTAGTGCTGCCCAGATTATCGAAACCCCAGTAGCCTGACAGGATAGAAATACATTTTGTTTAGCATTTTTTGAAAATCCATTTAAAGCTGAAAAGCGGTGCATTGTGCTTCAGATTACACAGTACAGCACTGACAGAAAGCATTTATTAGTTAAAAGCGCCAAACTCATGATTTCCTGCACATTACTTATGCTGTGTTCCATTTACCTCGGAGGTCAGAAGTCAGAGCTGGGATTGACGTCACACACCAGTTAACCGTGTGTCAGTCGGAAAGCCATTTAGCAATACCTGGGACCTGTTTCAAAAAGCAAGATTTCTTGCTTAGCTGGATAACTTGTCAGAATTAGCTCAGACTAACTTAAATCTGACAAGTTATTCAGCTAAGTGAGAAATCATGTTTTCTGAAATGGGCTGCAGTTCTAGCCTGGATAATTGTTAGCTGTTGTTAGCAATATCATTGACTGTGTTTTGCACATATAAATACCATAGCAACACGTCCACAGATAGCGACTGGATAGTACAGTGTGTGTGACCGATTTAATGAGCCAGAAATACGACACAAGTGCTAATAAACTGTATAACACCACAGCTGTAACTTCTGTTGATAAAGGGTGCAGCCATCTTTAATTCTGAGCTAGGGGTTGTGCCGATTCCTCCCAGTTCATGAGTGGGAATCCCGACTTTAGGGGCCGTTTCCAATTTCCGAGCACCCTTCCCTTAGCATTTGCTTGTTACTGCCTTGGATAGCACCCTATGACTCTGCACAGAATGCATAGCTGGAAGATTCAATCCAATTTATTTTTATATAGCGTCTTTCACAACGGAGCTGCCCCGAGGTTCTTGACAAGAATTTGTAGAAATCCATTACTATGTCATTTACACTAAATGGTGCATGAAACTGGGAAAGAGAAAGAGGGGAACAAAGAAAGCCAGAAGGCAATCGAGGAGAGGAACCAAACGCTCTCGGGTGGGGAGAGAAAAAAACTCTGGGGGTCTGAGGTCGACTGGCTGCCCAACCCCCCCCCCCCCCCCGCATGTAAGGAAGATGGATAGAAGATCAGAAATAATATGTTTTCTTCATATGAAAATGTAATGCTAGGCTATGTTCATGAATTTATCTCACTGCGACTGGTCTGTAAGTGGTTCTGAGCCTCATGATACACCAACTCTATTTCCTCCCACTATGGGGTTTCCCTCACCTCTGTTCTAACACCGTGTTTGGAGTTGAACGCATCAGAGAGGGAATTGAACTAAAATGTCCTCGATGTTTCCTGTTAACCTTTAGCTTCTGCTGGAAACAGAGGCAGAAGGCGGGTCTCTGGTGAGCTGCAGCGAAAGGCACGTGCTCTGGTCGACGTGCCCCCACCCCCACGGAAAATGCCGGGTCATCTCTGCAGGATCTCCACCTGCTGTACTCCTGAGGCTAACTGCTACACGCCACTCAGTCACCTTCTGCAACGTCCCCCTCTGTGTCTGATGGAGGTCATGCTTACAGCGGAGCGGGGTACCCGGAATCTTCTCTCACCATCCCATTCAAGTGCAAATACTGTGAGAATTTCTGCAGTGTTGAGTACTCTAGTTAATGTCCTTAGCTTGTGTAGCAGCTATATAATTAGAATCGGCTTCATTCACCAAGTACATTACCGTTTATATGGAAATTTGTCTTGGTGTAATTCGTGATGCTCAGTATAACAGCATAAATGTTCATTTTTTGGATTATGCAAAAATATGCACAAACTACGCATGCTTAATACACAAGTACCCAGAAGTGCCATGTGAGTAAGAGAGGCTGGAGGGATTGGTTGGCTACATAGGGGGTGTCGTCATGGTGACATGGTCAACAGCCCCGGGAAAGTTACTGTGTAAAAAACGAGCGGTTCTCGTTGTAACAGACTGTTTGAATTTTCTGGAAGCAAGGGGGACGAGTCAGAGTCAATCCTGCCAATGTGCTACCGTATCCTGCAGCTGAGCTGGTTTTCAACAGAGATTGCAGCTCTGAAGATCGTTCCTGGAGTGGACAGACGTGCTGTGAAACTAGACAGTGATGGAGGATGCGAAGTTTCAGACTTTATAGAATTTTAACAAAATAGACTGGGTGACATTGGCTTGCTTGGGTGGTGCAGACAATGCAGCGTTGCAGGATTTGCATCGTAATGGGTGCTGTTGTAGCCATAATATGGATTGATGATTTCAATGGAACAACGTGAGCAATAATGCGGGTTTTGTTATATTTAAAAGTACAATGCAGTGAACGTATACAATATATGTATCATGGATAATATACTATTTAACTTTAACTGCTTTTGTTTTGTATAAGTTGCAATGAATTATCATATGTCATTGACCACTACATTATTATTTTCTTTTGTTACCTCATGGACGTAATTTGAAGTATGTTTTGTAAATATTTTTTGTTTGCGCTATTTAAGAATTTATTAAGTCATCAGCTACCGAAAGCGCGTTAAACTGCTGATTTATCTGGCCACCGCATTAGCAGTGGCTGAAAAGCAGATATCATTTCCAACACGAGTGTGGTGGAGATGGAGCTCCTTCAGCGTTTGAAGGCCTTAACCAAACAGACAGCTGCGTGATTGAATTCTGGAGGAGGGGTATGGGGGTATTTGTAGGTATTTGTGGAAGTCCGTAATCATTTCCGCTGTTTCGATGAATTTTGCTGAAGGTTGCCCCCAAGGTCCTTGTCTGCTTTGCACGTGTCGTCTCATTACCATGTCTGATAAGGTCCAGAGGGCAGTTTCACACTGACAGATGGGTCTCTGGGGGTGTATTCATTAGTGTACTGCTTAAAGCTGGAGAGAGAAGACAGCTGCTAATGAAGCGGCGGTCTGATAGGTGGGATCCCACGAGCTTATAAATCTATTGACAGATGGCACAAGTGATGTTTAACTAGAGCAGTTCACAGAGCTGAAATCCACAAGTGTGATTCCAGCAT